TACAATTGGGATGGGTTTCTTTCTTGAACTTCCCTGCTGGTACCTCCATAATAACAGGATTAATCCACTGCTGCTAGTACAGCTCTAAGAGCTTTCTTTACAAATATGGTTACCCAGAAGAACATAAAGCTTCAGGCACTGCAAAGCTTGAGTACTTCCACAGCAAGTTTGAAGAGCTGAAGATGTTCAGAACCTGCCAGGAAATGCACAGCACCTTGGGGCACTGTGTCCCAGCTTCCCTCCCTACTGCAAAAGGCCCTATTTGTGTTACAAGGTGGATGGTATGATTAGTTGAATATTGAATTCTTTCAAATGCTTATCTGGCCCTTGAAGTAAACATTTGTTGCTCAAAGTCTTTCCATTGAGCATTCATTACACAAGTCAGTCTAGCAGAAGACTCATGGATCAGCCTTAAACAACATTGGCTAATTAATCTAAAATGTTTATGAAGGAGATACCAGATCTTCTGGGATTTATGATGATTTGTGCAGATACAGGCTCATAATGGGAATGAAGAGTCTTATTTCAGCCACTTGTGTTTCACCAAGGCATCACCACAGTGGCCTTAAACATATCAGTTGCAGCAACAACTCAGTCCACCAAACAACACTTAAAGTTAAGTCCTCAGTTGTATTCCATATATCCCTGAAAAATGTACACTCATTTCAGGAAAACTCAGTTCAGTATGGGTGCCAGTGGCATTTTGGATAAACACTGGTGTTAAATCTTCTTTGTTAAAAAAATAAAAATTGGTTTTATTTGTGAAGAGTGGGAAATTTGCAGACAAATCAAATGCACAATTCAAAGAAGAACAGATCCAGCTTGTCTTAAATCACACAGGCATGTTTGTGAAATGACTGCCTGACTGAAGTGAAAATTAATCTCCCTAGAAGCTCTTTTATTTTTTAAAGAAGTAAACCTTGCATTTTAATAATGGCGTCTTTGCTTCTACTGAAGGAGTTTGGACTGCTACAGGCAATGACTAGTGAGCCTCCTGCAATCTTCTTCAAGCAATGTCTTGCAGTTTGAAACGATAACCTGGTGTGTTAGTGTTTTGTAGAGGCTTTTCTCATAGGCTGCTGTTCTAAAAACAAATCTCTTACCAAACCATCACTTCCCTGATTTGTTAGGTTTTTACAGCTGAATTACCATTCCCGAAGTAGTCTCTTTGCCTTTTGTATTATCCACTCCTTCTCAGCCAGCTTTAAATTGCTTTCTTGCCTTTGTGCTAGGAGCACCAGAATCGAGGAGGACAATTCTGCACCTGTCTGCACTAGTGCAAATCTTGCTCACAGGTTGCTCGGTGCCTATATCCAACAGTGTGCATGCCTGCACATAGGCATCAGCCAGGTCTCTTCCTCTCCCCATCCTATGCCTATATCCAACAGTGTGCATGCCTGTTGCACACTGAGACCTATCAGTCAGGTCTCTTCCTCTCCCCATCCTGATCCAAGGTTATATTAGTGATCTTTCAACCCTTTGCCCATGCAAGACCATGGATGAGATTCAGCAAATGCAGAATTTGGACACCTCAAGCTCAGCGGTCCCAATTCTAACGGAGGAGAGGACAAGCCTGGAGAGTTCAGAGCTGAAGGTTGTGCCTTGACAGGACTTCCCACGTTCAGTGAATATTTACTCATGTAAGCAATTCCAGTGCTATAGGAATAGGATGGCTTGGGTAAATCTGATTAATCCAACTGCTAGCCATGTAAAGCCCTGAGACTCAGAGTGCTCTGTGAGAGAGCTGGACTCTCACTCAGAGAAAGGCTTTGGTTTCAATCATTGCATGAAATCACTGCAGTTTAAATAAAAGTCCTGGAACATTTATGATGCATAAGACACGAAGATCCTGCTGAGAAAATGCTGAAGGGTCTGCAGCTTTCTGAACAAGAAGTGGCATAACACGTGGTGAGATCCTCCCCCTGGCAGCAGGAAGCTTGTGACAGACCCACTTACAGGTTTCAAGCATAAAGAGACTTTCAGTTACGTAAATCTGGTTGATCTGTAAATGTGAAATTAAATACTGTCAGCCTTTACTTACTTGCCTGGCACTGAGTTTTATTTTCATGTATGCTTGGCTTGCAGCTAAAAATGCTACTGGATTGCACATAGGGAGCTCTGCTTGGTTTTGTCAGCTCAGAACTCAGAATCCTCAAGGGCAATCGGCCTCTAGAAAGGCTCTGCTTACGAATAATATTTGCCACTCCTGAAGCCCAGTCCCAGGCACTAACCCTTAAATGTTTTGCTCTTATAAAAAACATAGATTAAATAAAATGAAAAAGGAATTCAGGCTTCAAGCCTTTCCAGTTGTTCATATGCACATGCTCTAGGAATTATTCATAAGTGCACTAGAAAGGGTCAGGCAACTAAAGCTTTAAAAAAATCAAGCACAAATAAACTCATATAGCAATTACACAGTCCTTTTCAATGCAGATCCATCATTCCAAAACATTAATTAAGCCTCATAAAACCCTAGGAAGTTAGATAGTCCTAAGTCATTATTTTACAAGAGGGTCAGCTGAGGATGGTATAGGACAGAGGCAGAAATAGGGGACAGTTGCTCTGCATCTTGCTCTGCCAGTACTACCTTATGTAACAGTAGGCATTTAGCAATCCTACTCACCGTGTCAGTTCATTCTGAAATTCAGAACAAAAGCATATTATTATTGTTATTGCTATTGTTTTAATTATAAAGCACTACCCATATAGGAGTTCAGACAGAAAATATAATCTGCCTTAGCACAGAGGTAAGTACAAAACTACCTGCTCAACATATGGTAATCAAAACCACAAACTACCTTGTGATCAGAGGATTCCAAACCATATTTAAAAATCCTTAGATACTAGATCCTAAAACAACAGGAAAATAAATACTGTGTTGTTGTGGCTAATGGATGCAATCTTGATTTCAATCATGTTTTAAGCTAAGTGCTAAGAAACAGAAAAAGCTTGCAGCGTAGGCAATATCTCATACCTATGCATTTTGCCATCAGTGTTAGATTTATTAAAAAACCCACACAGGCAGTATTAGAAACAAATACTAATGATTGGAAAGAGACTAATCTTCTTCTGCATACTCGAGTCTTACAGTGGCAGACAAAGGAGATTCAGTGTGAAAATAATGATGCTTCTGGTGTTGAAAAAACAAAAAACTAAAGTAAGCTCCCATCTCACACTGCATTTCTGTGTCATTTTAGCTTCTAGCTCCTCTAGGCTACTGTGAGAATTCTAGTCAACAGGAACACAGTCATCTCAGCTGCTTCCTTTCCCCATGAATTTCGAAGAACTTCAGTGCAAAGACAAAGCAGTCCCCTATGTGGCTTTGCTGATGACCTTCCATCCTGCTATCCTACCCGGGCCAGCTCCTGACAGAAGCTGCCACAGCAAATACCAGTCTCACCTCCACTAGTTACACAAACAACATGCCAGGAAACCACCTACTAGAAAAACACGTTCCTTTGAACGTTGATATGTGTAGATCCCTTAACAGAGGTGACGTTGCAAGCTGAAAATTAAAATCTTGCCGATGAGAACTAAAAAAGGTGTTAACTGGAAAGATGTAAAGTGACTCAAATGCATAGGGGTAGGTGAACCATAGGCATGAGAGGAGCTGAGCCATCTGTGTATGTGGTGAGCACAACAGGGTATTGCTCCTAAGCTTCTGCTGAGGATTGAGCCAGGTTTGCAGTAAGTGTGAAGTGATGTTGCTCTATTAAGATACCCTAGAATGATGCCTATTGATGCCATTGAGGTCTGATTCAAGCTTCTTATCAGAAAAATTAAAAAAAAAAAAAGAAAAGAAAATCAAGGGGGTAAAAAAGAAATAAACAAAATAAGAGAGTATTGGGTTGAGGGAAGAAAATGTTGCTGCTCAGGACCAAAAGATTTTTAAGTGTCTGATTCCACTTCCGGTTTTTCATGGAAATGATGAGCAGATTGGGAAACAGTCTGGGGGAAATAAAGGGAAAGAAAGTTTAAATCTGTATGTCTGAGATCTTCTGAAATAAGGAAACCCTACTGCAGATCCTAGAAAATTTCTGACTACACATGCAAAGAACCACAGTAATGAAGGCTTTATTCCTACTCTGCTATAGATGGTGATGGAAAGGACCTGTCTGTCCTGAACTTGCTTTTAGTGACATCAGTGCAAACAAATGTGGCTCCAGTGAAGGCAGCCAAGACATTACAGTCAGCAGAAGATACTCTGGTCAAGCTGCTGCACTGTAAATTAATCAGTAAGAGCATCTAAGTAGTCCAGTCACAAAGTTTAGGAAGTTCAGTGCATGTGAGTGCAAAAGTGAGTACAATTCCCAGGCTGCTGCATGGTAGAGAAAAAACATCATATCCTGCCTCCTTCTACTAAGCACATTTTGTGCTCCCTCTTTCTGACTGCACAAATCAAATTTATTTTGCAAAGTCACTGAATGATGAGTCAGTGCAAGATACAAAATTCTCCACGTACAGCTGTTGGCTTGCTAAAAGGCTGTGATTTACTTCATGGCTGAGCATGGCCCAGGGGTGTTGCATGGTTTTGTTCACTTTTCCACAGGCTATCTTACATCCTCCCACAAACTGCCATCTCTTTTCCATTCAGGATAAGAGTATTAACTCCCATTAGGAAGCAGACCAGAGAGAACAAGATTGTATACTTTGTACATAGGAACCCATTTCTGCAATGCCTTAAAATCTTTAATAAGGAGTGTCTCCATTTCAAAGCTATATGATTCTTAGACCAACAAAAACCCAGGGTCTTTGCAATGCACTACATTTGTCAATCGGACTAATCTGGGGTTTAGCTCACTGATCCCTTTCCAGAGGACTGAAATAGAAGAATATCAAATGTTGCATAGATTATTCTTCCATGAGCTTTCAAGAAGCTGTGTCTCTCTCGGCCTTTTGCATTTTTTTTAATTAACAGAAACTTTTCCAAAGAATCACCACTCTCACAAATGTTGTGTGAATGCATTTGGCTTTGGGCTAAAGCCGTTATTGGTATACTGCTGTATCCACCATTTGCCATAGTCTTAAATAATCATAAATAAGAAAAAAATGTGCTATTCTTTGGTACATTTCTGTTTAAACCACAGCTGAATTTTTAAAGTTGTACAAACAAAAGCTTGCACTTTTATCTTCTGGAGAGTCTTGCTAGCACAACAGACTTTCAGCTGAAGGATTCTTTATTATATTCAAACCTTGTCCCGTAAGAATTGCTGATGTTGCTCAGTTTATGGAGTATCTTAGAGATTTTGTTTGGTCCACAGCAGAAAACTCCAATGGTTTTCCTGTTAACAAAGGGGAGAAGGTTATGACATTGTAAATAAACAGCAAGAAACTTCTTAAAAGAAACATAATTGGATTCTTATCTCACTTTATTACACATATGCCAACTCTGCACAGATTTTAAAGTCAGAAAAGCTCACTAGATCATGGAGCTAGGCTTCCAGCAGCCCTCAGAAATCTAGGTAACTAGCCCTATTACTTATTTGGTTCTTCTAGAAAGACACCCCATCCTGATCTTGTATTCACCCTGTCAGCAGTGAGATAGCTTTATTGCTTTGGCATTCTTGATTTCATTTTACCCTGAAATGTTTCTTGTAGTAGCAGTATTGGAAAGCTTTACAGAAAGCCAAAAGCAGAATATGACGCTTGATCATCATTCAAAGACAACAACCCAGGTTCTTCAATAAATCAAGCTTTTTATGCCACTCTGCTGAATACATCCCTTACTTAGAACCCTGCTCACCTTAAACACAGGCTTTAAGCTAGACTCAGGGTCAAAGCGGTAGCCAGGATCGGAGCAGGGCATATGTGCAACACAGGACCGAGCCACTCATGATGATGAGCATTTATTTTTGTGAAAGACAAGGATAAAAGAACAGAAAGAGAAGAGAAAGAGGATGTGGGACTGTCTCTTCTATATGATATAAAAAAGATCTTCGTTTTCCTACTAAAATTGTGCCAGTGTACAGAAAAATCTTAAAGATTTGCTGGGATGGAGAGAGAGCACACAAGAAGGAACATGGCTCTAACCGTTAAGATCTGCAGCACTCACCAGGAGGTGGGAGGTTGATCCCTGCCTCCAGGACTGTCTCATTAATTTATCCAGTGACTGTTTAATATCAAATATCTTAACACATGGAGGATAATCAAATGCACAGCTTAGAACTGCCTCGCAGGCAATCAATAGCATTATGAGTGTATGCATTTGGTGAGAGAAAAGCACTAACAAATTGAAAAAATAAGAAAAGAAAAGAAATAACTTTTATGCCCATTGTCAAGCACCTGTTCCTAATATTTGGCAGCAAGTTGAGTAGTGGCACAGCAGTCCTGCTATGCAACTGGAGGGGGACATTGGCACAGCACAGTTGATGACTCAGGCATTAGAAGGCACCATAAAGCTCCATAGGTAACTGTAACTGAGCCCTTGTACACCAGTCTTGTAACACCAGCTTTAATTACATGATTTCTTATATCAATTGAAGGCAAATATTCATCATGGATACTTTTCTCACTTTTAACACATCCATTAAATTTTCCTGCCCTCGTAGTACTGCTTTTGATTGCAAATAGTGTTGTGTTGGTGGCTGGATTTGCAGAAATAATGAGAAAGCCAAATGTTTGTAAATAAGCTTCCCCATCACTTACAGTGCCGAGACACCATATATTGTGTGCATGGTGGACAAGGGGCTGCATGTGCTAGAATCTTTGTTTTACTGTATTTTTAATTCAGAGAATTAATGTCATCAAATATTTGTTTTCATTAATCTAGTTAGTACAGAGAAGCACTAAATAAAACCTCAGAGGCTTCCAAACCTCCTTCCCTTACGTACCTACCATGAGCAGCAACCCTGGCTTTCATGCCACGTATCAAGGACCTCCCACACTTCAGCACCCACCTTCTCAATAGCTTCTTTCCACCACTTCTCTGTTTGCCGATACTTTCCTGCCTACCTCACCTGGCTTCTAGCTGGTTTCTTAGAGCGATGCTGAGGTCCAGCCACGCGAGGAGCTGAGAGCTGGTGCCCTGCAGAACAGCACGCTCTGACCTTGAGTGGCTGGGCTTTAATTGCATGTCACTTGGCTGGGTCAAGTGCCACCTTCTTGCTCGGATGAGAACAGATAGCTCCATGTCGCTAAGGCACAGTGTTAGAGAATCTTTCAGATACCACCAGCACGGATACAATTTGGCAAACTGTTGTAGGTTATCCTTCATAATAATTATAAGCATTAATATAGATTGTATTCATTCAAAGCGTTAAGTAAATAACTGACCCCTGCAAAATCCCAGTGTTCCTATGGGATTAGTAGGTCAGAGGATCCTTACATCCATTTTACAAAAAGTGGGAGCTGAGGAAGAGGTAAAATACTGTGCTATCTAGAGAGGACAGAACCAGAACTTGAAATGTTCTCTTTTAAATCCCATACTTATTCCTAGAGAGAAATTTCTCCTTTGCAGTGCACAAGAAATGTATCATGCTGTTCCAAGCCTTGCCCTCCTACAGATATTAATGTATTTTTTTCTAGGTCAGTCTCTGTCTGGAAAAAATCATGTGTCTGCTTAAACTAAGCAAAATTCAGAAAGCACCATAGCAAAGGCATGATGTAAGTTCTTCATGCAGAGGGCAACAGAACACAAACACAAATGCTGGTCAGACCCCAAGCAGAAAGATGGAAAAACAAGACTTATCATTTATTATATAAACTGTCCCAGTGCACAATCTTGGGACTGTGGATGTCATTTAAAATCTCAGCAGTAGATGGCATGCTTCTGCTCTTAGTTTAAATGAAAGAAGAGAAACCTGATGTTGAGTTGTCCCATGTTAAGTTCTGAAGCTCAGACAGAGCTCAGACACATACAAATGCACTTGCCCTATTTGGGACCCAAACAGCAACAACACACAAGCCACAAAGCAATCGCATGCTAAAGTGATGAGAGGTTTGCCAGCTGCATGTTTATTTAGGTGCAACTTTTACACAGATCACTAGATAAAAACCAGAAAAAAACTTGGCTGCCCATAAACAAGCCCAAGGGGATGATTGCAAATGTATGTGAAAGACTGAACACTGTCACCAGATGCTGCAATTTTTTTTGATTGATCTGCCCTTATTTTTATTTTTATTTTTACTGATGTTTTTATTTTTATTTCATCTATGTATTGCAGCAGGGTCATTTAGGAGACAAGTTACTGACAAATAGGAAGGATTGAAATAAAGGTAGCAGGACATGGAGAAATGGGGAGATTTATAGTATACGGGGAAAAAAAATAAGTTCTCCTCTTGTCCAGGGAAACAAGAAAGAAGGGTATTTACCTAGAGCAAATAAGTTTCTGTGGAATAGCCATGTTACAGATCATGTTGCACGTGACTGTATCTACAGATACAGATCTATATATATAAATCCCGATGAAGGGCGAGAAAGCCCATGTGATAACAAACTGCAGGATAATCTAAAAGTAAAAAAGCCAAAGAGGCAGCTCATTGCTTGAGTAATAAAAGCCACCTTGCTTAGAAATGGTGGCACAATTTAAAGACCTGATGGGAAAACGCAGACGAAATGGTACTTGAAGGTCTAATTAGGGGTAATGTGATGGAAAGTACAAAGGAAAAAAGAAGTATGACTACCACTAATAGCTTTATCTATGCTACATGCACTTACAGCCTTGCAAGGAAAATGGCAAAAACCTAATCATTTTCATCTTTTAAAACTGGATTCACACAGTTAAACAAAAAAAGACATTAGAGTGGAGCACAAAAGATGAGCAGTTCAAGTCTGAACCAGTGTCAGCTTGCCTCTCTGCTCCTCTATGTCCCTTTCTAGCCTGTGACTCTTTGCAAAATTTTTCTTTGAGCCATACTGGTTGGCATGGTATGGGAACCCTACTGGGGCTGCCCGTTTCTAACAGCCTTTGGGCTGGGATAGAGACCCTATCCAGATCATCCTCAAGGTCCTAAGTCCAAGATTTGCCTTGTCAGCAACTCACATGGAGATAGATCAATGACATGTGCTGAAGCTCAGTATTTCCCAAGGCCCAGGTATCAGTGTCCCATAGTTATATGCATCATCAAAAAACAAGTCAATAAGCTCTGGACAGATGTTCACTTTGCAACTTCAACAGAGGAGAGTAACTTTCTGAAGAATTTCTGAAGTCTGTAGCTGAAAGGGATTGTGAGAGCACTTCTCAACCTGGAGCACCCAGATTACCATAAACAGCTAAAAACGGTGGTTTGCTTCCACCACGCTGACTTTGCCAGAAGTGGATTAGGGAAAACTCACACACTCTCTTATGATGCATATGCTTTTGATGCAGAAAACTGCCAGTATCCTCTAACTTACTCAAACAACAAAGCGAGATCCGGAAAAAGACATTTCACAGTATAATTGTACATTTTCTCTGCTTTACAACTGTCCTGTTTTAGACTATGATGTGTTTTTCTAGCCCAGTAAGATGCCATTGCCAAGCCTTAACAAAGAATAAAGAAGTGCCGGGGATCTCCAAGGACAATATATGCTCTGAGTAAAAACAATACATGGCAGTCAGATTCTTCCTTGTGCCTCTGCAACACAACACTACAAGTAACAAAAGTTATAAAAGTCATCAACAAGTAAAAAAAAAAACTTTGCATATGAAAATTACATGTATCACAAGCCAGATATTATTTGCAGCACTGGGTGCAAAGATGTCTCTGTGCAGTGAGAGGAAATATACTATTTTTATTTTCTGGGCCACCAAATATCCCAGCTGCATGAAAAGATGAACTGTTCTAGTGCTAAAAGAAATGTTTCACATCTCTCACAGCAAAATATTAGCTAATTTTAACATCAGTAGCTTGAATGCTATACTATAAGATAAAACTCCAAAATCATTTCCACACAAACATAGCTGCAAATGAATAAAATCTCCATCTTTCAAGCAGGTAAAATCCATTAAAACCTGTACTTACCGCCTATTACACTTTGCAATTTCATCAAAAAGGAGTTTCCATCGCGGTCGGCCAATTGAGAGCCTTGAATTCAGGGCTTGATATTTTTCTCCAATTATTTTCTGGAAGAAACAAAGCATTCCAAGCTGTCTGATTTGCAGATTGCCTGTTAACACCCAGGGCTGCCATTCCTGATATTTGCTGACTTATCGTACCGTTGAGGTGTAAAACCTCAGCACAGTATTAGAAAGTTGTGACTAAAATTGCAGCCATTTCATACACCAATACCTCTGCTCACTGTCTTTTCAGTGGTTCTCTTTGGTGCTCATCGTACACTGTTCCTCATGTAGCTGCTCATTAATCTCTCCATTAAGTTTAAACCAATTTATTTAAGCCATAAAACAATAACTACAATCCCATTACGCATTCCCTCATTGGTATTTACTGTTAAGCTGGAAGAGACATCTCCGATGTAAAAATCATATTTCTGTCTGAAGAATTTCCTTTTATCTTTGTACAAGTAACTATTAAGATGACTAAGTCTGAAAAAGTAACAAGGGAAATCTTTTATTTCTCCCAGAGAATAGTTTGCCAGCTGTTTTGAGCTGCCTCAGAAGAGTAAAGCAGCCAAATTTGCCCCCAGATGGAACCTAACCCATTTCCTGTAACACTAACTCACTAGCATTCTTGCTCATCTTTTTTTAGTCAAATGTCCTTCAATTGCTTGGCTTAACCTTCCCTTGGTTTGGTGCGTTAATGCAACAGGAAGTCTCCACCTTGATACATCAACAGTAGCACTACACATCATGTCAGTTTTTCTCAATAACCACAAAAGGAAAGTGACTTTAAAGGAAGATTTAAAAGGAAAAACAAAACAAAAAGCTATAATAAATTCAGTAGCTGCTCTATACAGAATACTAGAAAACTTGCTTTGAATTGTATATCGTTGCAACCTTGCTATGTCTTTGCAATCCTGCTTGGTATTTTAATTCTAACATAACAGCTACATATTAGGTTCACCAATTAGGTATTTTCAAGAACCTCAGGCCAGCTGACATCACGCAGGTATTAAATATTCGGAGCCCTGTTCATAACCACAGTAGCTATTACATCATTTAGCTGCATTGGATGGCGTTCCTATTGAGGTGTGAATATTATACTGTCTCCACCTGACACAAGGCAGATGAAAATCCTTTGGACAGGGTCCTCCACTGAATTTCACTTCTTGTAGTAATTTTCAGGCTTGGTCCTGAGCCCACTATGCTCAAAGGAAACTTTCCAGCTGCAGCTGAATAAAGAATCAGACCCAGGCGCTTTTTGCATGAGCCCAGTCTAGGGGCTGGCAGCATATGATAAGCAACAATTCAGTACAATTTCTCATCACATACTTCAAAAAATCTTTAACTTTTGTTGATATTTAAAGAAAAAAAATCCAAGGTTTTCAAAAACAGCTATTTTCTCTCAAAATATTTATTTTAAAGGAAGCTTTGAGCTTGCAAGCTCCTAGAACTATTCTGTTTTGATTCTTAGCCCAGAAATGATGCAGATATTTCCCATCAAATCCTGCCAGCTGTCTGGTCTGTGGCCTGGCCTGGAAGGACCTTTTTCCTAGAAAAGGAAGATATGGATTGCTGCCCACATATAATCAAGTTAGGGCTACTAGACTCAATTTTTCTTAGCACTGTAGGGATGGACTTGTTATCCTGCCCTAGTAGTGAAGAAACTACTTTGAGTTTATGGCCTCATTTCCTGTTTTTGCCATCTGCAGTAACTTTACCATTTGCAGAAATCCTTGACTGACAATTTGTACTGTCTGCTCACCCAAGGTCTAGCTGGGTTTGCAAACAGCATTTAGCCACATACCTGTATTCCATCTGTTTGACTGAGGTACAGCTGGATGTTTATATAGTCTGGTCGATTCTCCTGCCAAAGCTGGGAGAATGATAAAAACAGCTAGTGAAATAATATCCCTTCTCTTAACGAAAGTGCAAAATTCACTTGTACTTAGTGTCCTAATACACTTGGCTTTAAGTATCAAAAATAAACTTTTTTAATGAAGAAGATATACCTACATAAGATCCCTTTGTGCACTCCAGAATCTTTTCCACATCCTGCTCTGTACAAAATACTATTTTACAAAGCCATGTTGCTCTTAAAATCCACCTGAATTTGTAAATGCCCCTCCCTTCTCAGTCTGTCTGTTAGCCAAATGGCTAAGGCTATTGAGACTCCTTAACCTGCATATTCTTCTGTCTGATAAACTTAATGAATATATGTCAAGACTTCTGGTACACTGGGCAATGAAATGCTGGTAAGAGATATGCAAACCATCCTCTGCTGCTCCAGGCACACACAGAATCTAGGTCAGTTGGCTCAGGCAGAGGTACTATTGGAGCTAACTTACTTTGAACAAGTCTGCCTTTTCTATTATATGCCAGCTGTGTGGTATGGATATATCCTGCTTTTATTAAATTGTTAGTGTCCCTCCAAGCAACATCCATTACCTTGTCATGCAACATACAGAGCAAATCTGCAAACCAGCGGAAAGATTCAATGTCCCTGCACACCCAAATGAAGTAGAGTCTTCTGAGTTTGTAGCATTTCCAGCCGTCACTTGAAAATGAAATGTTTGGGGAATTAAAAATTATCATTTTAAAAAAAACATTAACTAAGATACTTTATATTCATTACTGGAAATAAGAATTTCCATTAGAAGTCAACTGTAAATAGTTTTTTCATGCTACAACATATGAAATGACCAAGGCACTCTACCTTGTGAATACAAATTCTCCTGCATAGAACCAACACCATTCACAGATATTGCTTCTATATTAGAAAGTGGCCAGCTGTATAAATGATTTAGGATGAAAATACAGATTCATGCATCATCATCAAATGATTTTGAAGCAAAGTAGACATTCTAAGTTCAAGTGTATTAGGTCAGTTTTGTACTAGGTTTATAAAATGCCTCATAAGAGGAAAATACTGACAAATGCAATAATGTTAGGACTAAATTGTGACATTATATGTGATAAACTCTGGTTTATTATAATTAATACTGTATTAGAATTACAAAGATCAAATCAAGTAAGGGCTCCACTGTATTAGGCAGTTATGTGATACAGTCCGCAGAAAATGTTGGTGGGTAAAATGCTGTAATGGACAGAATCTGGCTTTTCATTTAAAAAAAAACCCACATGACTATCATGACAGGTTTCTAATGCAAACAAAACACAAATATAGTAGAAATGAAGGACTAGAACAAACTGAGAAAATAGAAATTAAATTAAAAAATTCCTGATGATTAACATGATCAAAAAAGCAAAAACATCCAGCCAGTCTTTTCTTAGGTGCCAGTGATGTTTTTTGTTGTTTTTTTACTGTATTACTGAGGTGTCTAATGAACGATTGTTTCCTCTTCTGTCTCCTAAAATAATTTTCAACTGGAAAATACCACTTCAAACTCCTATATCAGGAACCAATCCCATCTGCAAAGTTTTATGATCCATCTCACTACATCTACTGTGCATGATTTCAAGCTCTGTGGTCTTTGGCATATTCAACACTGATACTGTGTTAATGGATCTATGTAAGGACAGCTCCAGTGACTGTCTCATCTCTATAAGCTCCAATGTAAGCATGAAAAGCCAGGCTGGAGACACTTAGCAGCATGTAGGAGCTGAGGGTTCCTCGTATTTGGCATAAAATCCCGATGGACAGAAGAAAAGGTCCCTTAAGTTGTGAAATATTATGTCTTTCAGGTCCCGTACTGGTATATTCTTGATCTGCAGAGTAGAATTTCCTCCACATTCTCTTATCACTTATACCAACAGGAAGGGTCACAATCTGATCTGATGGGATGAGATACTATAAGCAGTAGCAAGCAAAATAAGTGCCTTCCAGAGGCAGAGGATAGAAGGAGAGAGACATGCAATGAATTTTGTATGGAATTGCTTATCTCAGTAGCAAAACACCATTTGGAGTAATGAAGCATTGCTAGAAATCAGCTGAATGTGGAGACTGGAATGAAGGACTTTATGAAATAAAAGGAAAAGGGGTAAGAACTAAATTTTGTTCATACAAGAGGAACACAGTTGAGCACGAAACAAATGACTTTCAGTGTAAACTGTGTTCTGATCTCCTTTAGAATTGTATATCCTTGGAAAAAAAACAGGATTTTCCCACTTTTCTTTGATGCTGGCATCATAAGTCAGTTTGCATTTTCACACCTGCCAATATCAGTTTCTAAGCCAGGGCAAAAACAACATGCAGATCACCCAGGAAAGCAGTATGGTGTTGTAGATGTTTATGAACACTGAGAACCAAAGCAGGCTAAGACCATTACTTTTCCCCATGTATAATATTACAGTGCACAAAGCAAGGTTTGCTACAAAATCAGCTTATGGAATTGACTGTTTGGAAGGCAATTTGTAGGTTTATCCAGATAAATGGATCCCATTGGTCTGACACTGAAGAAGGTTTTGGACGGTAAGTTTCTAGGCAACGTCTGTGCACTTTTTTATAGCCTCTAATATACACAGGTAGAGGCAGCCATCTCATTACTTCTTGTTGGTCCATCATTATGATACGTGACATTCTAGCTAAACACTCTCAAGGATAATTCATCATGAGGTAAATGGTCAGTTTATCCAGCTGGACCTCAGGTTTTTGGCAAAAATGTACCTCTGTTTCATATTTTCTCTCTCTGAGAGGATGATTTTCCTCAGGAAAGAAAAAGATATTTCAAGATGGACTTTGTGAGTTGCGCTATGAGACCGGTGGGGCTGATGCAAAGGATGACTTTCAGAAGTGCTCAGCCCAATCTAGCCTAGATGAAGGATAGAAGAACAGGTACAGCACCGAAAAATAAGGTTTTAATATAACTTTGGAGTCATAGCTGGCCATTGGCATGATCATCTTAGAATAAATCTGTCATTGACACCTTTTAAAACCCTCCCAAAGTCAGCAAGACCTTAAACACTTTAGGAAGGCTCATTGTCTTGACTAGCTATTTATACAGTGCTTGAAACTGGGGCGCTTAACCTGTGACTGGAGCTCTTAGCCAGCATTCCAATAGCAAAAAATCAATAGCAATCATAAAAGTGACCCTACTTCAGAGGATGTAGAATGTGCTGGGAATCATGTTGCCTGAGTGACAGAAAAATGAGAAATGAATGGAATTTCAAAGACTTTAAGAAAAAAAGAAAAAAAAAACAAGCAAAAAGATAAAAAAGGAAAAGAAAAAAGAAAGAGAAAAATGGGAAATGAAGAAATAAAAAAAAAGAGAAAAGAGAAAAAAGAAAAAAATATAAAAGGAAAAAGAAAAAAGACTCCCCTAAAATTTATACTTTTCAAATAGAGTTAAGTATCTAAGCTTTACCTGAATCCAATCCAAGACAAGCCTTTAAAACTCAAATCCAAGCCTCTTACTTTAAAATCCTAAGCATACACACTTAGTCATATGGAAAGTCATATGGAACAGTAGAGCTGGCCTGCATTTCCAGTAGAAGGACTGTCACACCTGACTAAAAAACCCTAGTCTCATCTAAACAGAGAATCAAAGGAACAAATCTAGCTGGAGGGTCTAGGAACATAAACAAAAATTTACAGTAGACTAGGCTGGGAGCATCACATAAAGGCCAGTGATGTGAGGGATGCCTGTCCCAGCTGATGTGTCTACCAGCATAACTCTGTCAGAACCTTTTGGGGATAAAAATCCCAGGTTCTTTCATTTGTCTACCTCCCTTCGAGGAAACATTCATTTATGCCATGCTAATAGAAGATTTGAACACTCTGAAGGTGCTTGGCATGTGCTGTTAGGGCTCTTTGGGAGGGAAATGGCTCTAAAGGGTTTAAGCTCACTTACAGCAATGTGTTGAGTACTGATGCAAATGGTGTAACTCCAATACCCCCAGCCACGCAGAGGCTGACCTCATACTTCAGGGATTCCTCAAAGGGACTTCCAAAAGGTCCATCCACATACAATCTGCAGGAAGAGCAAGAATAAGACTTTTAGAGAAAGTCCTCTCAAGACAATATTTATTTTTTATTACTTTTGGGATGCAGAATATGACAGGTAAAAACAAACAAAAAAAAAAACAAAACACAGTAAGTTCATCTGAATATGAGGAAAAATTGGGGGTGACAGAGCACTGGAACAAGCTGTCCAGAGGGATTGTGGAGTCTCCTTCTCTGGAGTTATTCACAATCCACCTGGACACGATCCTGTGCAATGTGCTCTAGGTGACCACTCTTGTGCAGAGCGGGTTGGCCTAGCTAAATTCCAGAGGTCCCTTCACAGTTCGGTGGTTCCAGGAAACCCTTTTTCAGGGGAGCTTTATGTTGATAAAGACTGTAGTGAAAGACCAATGCCCAGGCAATAAGAAAGAATATTATTATAAAATAATACTTGGTAGACTCCAGGGTTAGACAGGCTGTTTTTAACAAAACAAGTGGAAGGCAGTTAATCCAACCCACTTCATATATCATATTAGAGGGCAAAGTGCTACATTAGAGCCAGAACTTGGCTAGTCATAAACGGAAGCCAAAATTTGGCTAATTGTGTCCACAAGGCTCCATCTCCTGAACATCTGACAGAGCTGAGGTGAACAAAGGAGTACAGAAATCTTTCTTTCTGCAGTGAGAAAGAGAAATAAATTCATATCTATCCACTTCTTTGCTTCATGTGCAGACCCAGTCTTAGCAATGACATCATTTAGATTTCCAGCACACTGAGGTAGCTTCTCTAACCTTCTAGTAAGGCATGGGACTGTACTGCAAATTGAAATGGTGTCATCAGAGACAAGAGGGAGATGAAGATTACCATGAAGGCTACAGCTGTTTATGTTCTTTGCGATCTTATGTTCACAAGTTCAAAACCTTTAAATGAAACTGACCATAAGTTCGGTTCTATCATATACAGAACTTGAAAAGAAAATTTAAGCAAGGTCCACTCTGTGTAGGATTGGTTCTCTGAATTAGCACTTTTCGGGTAGGTAATAAATGCATCAGTGTGGTAAGACAAGCACTGAGTTCAGCTCTCTTATTCCCCAGCTCAGCTCAAATTATTTGCTCACAGCTAGGCTGACTGAAATCAACCTTTGGCATGACTCCAGAGAAAAGCTCCAGCATATATATTTATATGTGCACACATACTAGTACAGTTATGCAACTAAGCTAGGCATGTTGTATGACTAGTAAGGCACAAGCTTCTCCTGTATATCATCAGTCAGAAAATTAAAGACAGAAGAGAGGCATCCTTTCCCAGCCAAGGTCTTCCAACCCTCATCTGACTCTTTCCTGTTGAGGGCTGGCTCTCAGGCATGATTTAATTTAAGATCCCATGGCTTTTATTTCTGCACTCTGACCCTTGGCATCTTACCAAACAAGACGACATCTGGGTATCTTTGAAGAACATGGTCCTTTGTGGGAAAATTCTTCCAGACTTCTGCTATTGCTGACATCTTGGTATCTCATATACCAGGCTCCTTTTCCAACACCACCTTGTTAAAAAATGTAGATGCACCTACTTTCTGAAGGGTTTGGAGGCAAACTAGTTGATCCCTAAGTATGCCCTATCTTAAAACCCCTTTCCTGGCTCTTGCTGTCCCTGCTGAGTGTGTGGACCACCCACATTTATCATCAGAAAGGAACAGAAGGTCTAGCAGTATGAGGTTTAAAATAGTTAAAATTAATTACTAAAATTCACAATTAATCAATCTGCATTCTGAGTCTGTTTCTTCTTATTTCTGCCTTTGCATCCTGAAGTCTGTACAGCTTTCTACAAATGTCTTCTTGGAAAATCTCAGGCTTTTTCCATGTCAAGTATGGTAGTATCAGCATGATGAAAATAACATTTTTTTTTAACTTAGAGGCACTTTCTTTTGCAAAGTGGGGCCAAGAAAAGCTAAACTGGACATGTGTAAACTGCTCGTACAAATAGAACTTTGAGAGTCTTTTCATGAAATGTTTTCTATTACATAACACTTTTTTTCTCATTTGCTTAACAAGTACTTATTTTTCACTAATGAAATGAAACCACTTCTGGAGTGGAGTGCAGCACCAGCTGCTTGAAGAGAGCATCTCACCACTGCACTAATACTTGACTGAGGAGGAAAAATGCATCTCTAGTTTAAATGAATCAGCAGGGGCAATGTAGAGAAGCAGGTAATTTTCAAAAGGAATCTGGTCCAGGACTGTTTTGAGACAGGTATACCAACGTTATGGGTCTAAGGTGCACGTTTCTTTGGATACTAATAGGGTAAAAAAAAGAAAAATCTGTACTGGATCACCAAGGTCAGCAGCTGACATCCACTGTCATTCCTTGAATAACTCTCCTGCATGCATTCCCCTAAGCAGATGCTGCTTAGCTGCTCAAATCTGGCAGAATCACTCCTCAAGGCATCAGGGGCATAAGCACAGGCCCGAGGGGAATTCTTTGCATTTTGTGCAAGCAGCTAATGTTGATCTGGATGTACAGACTCAAAGACAACATTTGGGGTGAAAAAAACAATAGCAAACAAAACAAATGCAAACCAGAAAAGCAGATTTTCCAGAAATGACCCCAGCCGATGTGACAGTAATCTGCGACTGTATGGGAGCCACTCAGACTTGCACTTAAGCCTGCTGAGAAGCTGATTGCTTGAGGACCCTCAGAAGTGTGATCTTGCAAGAGGCTAAGCAATTCTTGGAAAGTCTTAGAGCCACTGAACAACACTGATGTGATCAGGGATTGTAACGTGCTAAACTGCATCTGGTCACTGCAAATCAAGCACGTGCATAACTCCATGGCTGAAATTCAAGAAACTAGCTTCAATTAAATATGTGCTTTGGTCAGACCGCTCCAGTTTGTAGCCTGTTAGCCAGGTTTGGCCTGCCAAACGCTTCTGCCTACCCACTGCTTCTGCCTCCGAGGGGGCAAGGAGTGGTTGTTTGGACAGCAAATACAGCTGGAAGAGCCAAGTGCCTCCTGCTATGCCTGCATGTGGCCCAACACAGAACAGCCAGAAGTCACCAAATCCAAGCTTAGGAAAGGGAAATAAGGAAAAAAGCTGGAGGGATAGTGCTCCTGCATTAACCCACTCTACAAGAATGTCTAAAAAGACTGATTCCAAGGTTAGTATGGGAAGATTTTGTTGAATGTATAACATATTATATTATTCCCATTTTATTAGGGGATACCTTATAAGTAAAAGAAATGTGGCTCTGATACATTGTTGAAGATGCTCAGTTAGGAATCAATCCTTTTATTGAAGTGGGAAATAAAGTCTCGTGGTGCCATATAAAATGGACTAGTGACAAGTAGAACAGTGACTCAAACATGGGCTTGCAGTGAGATTAGGCAACCTGCATTCTCTGTCAACATATTCCTCTTTTTTATTTGGTAGCAATGAGAAATTTTGCATTATTGCAAATGAAATCTCATGGTGTTTGTTTAATAACAAGGCAGGCAAGCCAACAGGGCTGAAGTAACTTTTTCTTGTGTTTTGTCCCAGATATATCACACTACCATACTATTCACTCACAGCCCCCAGCTTAATTTAATTAAAATGAAGGAAAGGAATTGAATTTTTGTAAAAGTTTAGAAATTTCCCCTTCAGGCAAACTAATTCAAATAAAGTTTTTTTTTCAGATATATTAATTTCCAGTCTTAAGGGTGCTCTTAATTATTCTGGCATAATTTCTCAGATCACAAACGGAAAAAAAAAAAGAACAGAAAATTAGACAGAAAAAATAGAAAACATCTTCCAGTTATCTGGTATACATATTGTTTCTCTTCATAAAGTACACGTAAAGCCATGTAGAAAAATACCAGAAAGCATCAGGAAAGCTTGTTATAGAACTGGACAGTAAAACTGCACACGTTATTCAGGGCTGTCCCTAAAATATTCATTGAACTGTCTCATGGCTGGAGGCAGCTTTCAAGACTCATATTACTATCTTCCATAAGGAATTGCACAGTGATACGTGGAGATACTTTGCACACACCTTGACCCCCTATGATGAACCTGTGTCATTGGCTTGAATACGTTTTGGATAAAAGTCCCCAAGTCACCAATATATATATTAAAAAAATAAAAAATAAAATAAACCCATTCTACATCTTTCCTTATGTTTAGCTTGTCCTACCAAAACCTTAGCTCTGCTCTGTAATGATGGATATGGCCTGAGAACTCTAAGGAACCCAGTTCAGGTAGTTGAAACTGTCTCCTTATGCTCTTCTGCCACTGCAATGTCTCTCATTTCTCATTTACCAGAGATCCCTCTGAAAACCCACAATACTGCAGCTCCGTCTCCACATGATAAATATTCAAACAAGCATCATCATGTTCCTCCCACAGTGCCCTTCATGCTTGAGAGGAATTCCCCATAAATATCTGCAGAGCTATTTCATTATCTCCCTGCAAATTCCTTCCTATGACTCCTCTTGCCTGTTATAACTAAAATCCAATAAACTAAAAGTTGACAGCAGTTGGGCTGCTGCTAGGCTTCTTGTAGCTCAGTCATATGCTGTCTCACTGTTCTCTGAATTTTGCTGTTGGACTATATCCATCTAGTGTCTCCTCCTCTTCAAGTTTCTTCAAGTCAAATGCATTTGATTGGGACAGTCTCTTTGCTGCGTGACTGCATTTATTAAAATTGTGTCCTGGCTCTACAAGGCACCTTGACAATATCGATAAATATTGAAAACAGAACAATTCTGAAACTTATATGCAAATCTTACACATGTAAGTCTTGCAGAAAGCAAAAACTGACTGAGAAGGGTTTCCATACACAGTATTGTAGGCTCAGTGGAGGCACAATAACCAATAAGTATAGCCTGCTTCAATAAGAATCGACTTACTTACAATAGATTATACGATTTTACTTTTCAAAGGCACTATATTCATTGCTACCAAATGTTTCAAATATTTTGTGCAACAAAAATCTAGACAGTTGTTTCATCTTTTGAAGACAGTCATGATACTTTATGCCATTTTTTAAACT